CGGGGAGGCCTCGCCGACAGCCCGCTGCCGGGGCGGCTCTTCCTGTGCTTGCAGCCCCCGCCTCCCACCTGGGAAGCTGCACCTCCAGCCTCCGCCGCCGCCAATGCTGCCGCCGCCGCTGGGACTGCAGCACGCCCTCCTCCCTCGAGGCTGCGCCGGGTAATTGCAAGCCGGGTCTGTGCTGCCCCCTGCCGGCCCGAGCGCCCCCCGCTGCTGAAGGTGTGCTCACGTGTGTACACGTAGGTGAGCACACACGTGTTTCCGGCGCCCCGAGCCCTGGAGACGCCCGAGAGTCGCCCCTCGCCGGGTTAGGAACACCGGCCTTCCAGGAAGCCTTGACCCGAAGGACAGCCATGGAATGGCATTAAATGATAACCCTCAGTTTCCCCTTCTGGAAAAGGAAAAGGGGTGAACTAGGTAATCTTAAAGGTCTCTCTGCTGCTTCTCAAATTCTGTCAGTTTTACATCTCAGAGCTGGAAAGGCCATTCCAGACCTATTAAGTCATTCCAAATAAGGAAAGAAACAGGTCGAGAGAGGTGGGGGGTAGTACTTGAACACACTGCGGTCAGGAACTTCAGTCCAGTGTTAAAGCAAAGGCCTGTATAAGCAGCCATAACTGAAAAAGCTTATTAAAGGCTTAACAAACTGCTGGGGAGCAAAGCAGAAGTGACGCCCCAAGAATTAGGATACACTGAGCATACTCCAGGCAGAGAGAATTACGTAGAAGCGGTGCCCCTCAGGTGTACATCTGGCAGTCTGCTTCAGAGAGGTGTGGGATGTCCGGTGAGTGACATTGGAGAGGAAGGTGTGGCTGAAAGGAGGTGGAATCTCTTGAGGAGAACACCACCACTGTTTATTGTGCCCTTAATTGTGTGGCAAACCCTCTACTGAGTCCTTTCCATTCATCATCTCACTTAATCCTCAGGACAGCTCAGTTGGCTAGACATTGTTATCCCCACCGTACAGAGGAGGAAACTGAAGTCTAGCAAGGTTAAGTGACTCGTTCCAGATTCCACCGCTAATGCAGGCTGGTTTGCCTGGCTTCAGAGTTCTTGCACCTAACCGCTAGCTCTGCTGCCAGGCTGAAGCATGTGCTGTGATTGTCCAGCCAGTGAAGGCTTCTGATGAGGCCTGGACCAAGGCTGTGGCCACCGTGAAAGACAAGAGAGGGAGGGAGGGATAAATTCAGGAGACATTACAAAGCAGGCATCTATTGAAGATGAGGCATTGTCTTAGGATGTCATGGGTGATATTTTAATTATTCCTCATGCCAACTCTTCCAGGTAGATCTGTTTCTCTCCATTCACTTTGGTGGAGATTGGAGTTTAGGAAAGTCATGTCCTTGCCCAAGGTCTCAGAGCTCCTGAGTGGCAACAGCCAACACTCTCCCTTATTGCCTAAGTGCTTCCTTTATCTCACCCCAGGGGTTTCCCTTGCCAACAGTGCATTCTGAGAAGGCATCAGCAATCGGTGGTCAGATACCCTTTCTGCTCCCCACAACGAAACTGGAGGTAATAAATGCCACCAGCAAATCTGTGTTCAGCAATAACCCATCTCTACTCACTGATTTCTAATGGTAGCCCATTCCTGCTGTAGCCTAATATATAGCCCAGGAGTGATGTGATAGACTGAACAATGCCGCCTCAAAGATGTCCACGTCCTAATGCCCAGAACCTAGAAATGTGTTACCTTACATGGCAAAAGGGACTTTGCCAGTGAGATTAAGCTCAGGATCTCGAGATGGTGAAATGATCCTGGATTATCCGGGTGGGCCCGTTATCATTACGAGTGGGAAGCGGGCAGACCAGAGACAGAAGCAGAGGTCAGAGTGGTGTGGCCAGGAGCCGAGGAAGTACGGCAGCCACTAAGAGCCGGGAAAGACACAGAACGTCTCTCCCTACAGCCTCCAGAAGGAGTGCAGCCCTTCATTTCAGCCCCATAAGACCCATTCTGGACATCTGACCTCCAGAACTGTATGATACTAAATTTGTGTTGTTTTAAGCCACTAATTTGATGGTAATTTGTTCCAGCAGCAGTAGGAAACTAATACAAGGCAGAATCAAATAATACTGGTTTTGTGTTTTATGGCCCTTCTACCCCCCTGATCTCTGGCAGTCATCTATCACCCTCCCCAGAGCAATTGTAATGACCCACTCTCATTCTCTCCCACTGGACTCTAAGCTCCATGAGAACAAGACTTTTTCTTAGTTATCGTTATATTCCCACCTAGCCTGCTGTCTAAGCAGTGTTGTTGTTAGGTGCCATCAAGTAGGCTCTGACTCATATAGCAACCCTTTGTACAACAGAACAAAACACTGCCTGGTTCTGTACCAGCCTTACCGTGTCTAAGCAGTAGACATTCAATAAATTCTTGTTGAATGAATGCAGGATCTTATTTCATCTTCAAAAAGGCCCTGTGGGGATTGGCAGATAATGTTTCTACAAGTGTATTGGTATGTTCTGTAAGAGTTTCCAGGTATATAGTAATGCTGACAAGGGGCGAGGTTGTAGTCACTTCTTGGCCACAGCCAGCTGCTACCCAGAGGGAGCAAGTAGTTGGACCTGTGGGTTTGGTGCCATGGTTGCAGGGGACATCAAGCCCAATTGGCATAACATACTACACAAAACACTATTTCACATTCTGCTTTGGCGAGTAGTGACTGGGATCTTGAAAGCTTGCAAGCGGCCATGTAGATGCAATGATGGGTCTCTCCTTGTCCAGAGCAAAGAAGAATGAAGAGAACCAAAGACGCATGGAAACAATTAGTCCAAGTGACTGGTACACCATGCAATCCTCAGCCTATATGACTACAAGACCAGAAGAACTAGATGGTACCTGACTACCACTGTCAACCACTACGAGGGGGATCTATATAGGAGATCCTGGATAGAGTGGGAGAACAATGTGGAACAAAACTCAAAATCATTAATAAATAAATAAAGAGGGACCAGGTTTGCTGATCTGATAGAGCCTGGAGGAACCCCTGAGACTATGACCCCTAGCTTCCTTCCCTTCAGGTCTGGAATTGAACCCATTCCTGTGGCTGCCAGCCAAACAAAAGGCAGGCATATGAGCTGAACATTTGCATTAGGTAGATACACTCCTTGGAGAGATCAATCACGGGAGATTAGAAGGGCTGTGTATGCACAGGGAGACAGCTCAGGAGGCAGGAGTGCATGGAAGGGAGGGACACAGGGAAGAGGTAACTGTAGGGAGGAGGTCGGAGGAGAGCTGTTGCATTGTGGGAGATTGTCATGAGACAAAGTGTATATGAGCTGCTGTATGGAAAATGAATTTGTTCTGTAAACTTTCACCCAAATCCCCCCCCCCCCAAAAAAAAGGGCCCTGTGGGGTAGGTATTGTCATAGAAAAGTAACATTGGAGTGGAGCCTGGGGTCATACTCATGTTTCCTGACTACAGATCCCAGACTACTGACAATACCATGTCCCTCCAGCTAACTGACGTGTGGGGGTCAGGACTCCAAATTGCTTTGGTTTTACCTGTATCTCCTCTGTGGTGGGTATAGTGCTAGGCACTGTCACCTAGCTGATCTTCAATCCTCACCTCAGTCATGATCAAAACACCGCTTTATCACACAGAGTCAAAGCCAAGGTCTCTGGTCTTCCTCTGAGTAAATTTCACATCACTCAAGTTTTAAGCTGAGAGTTTCCAGGTTTGATGAGCACATTTGCCTGTTGCCTGGCCACAGTGTTAGGCATGGTGATTATTGCTTTTTCTTTCTCTGTGCTTTTCAGACCTCAAAGTCCCTCTCCCTGTTAGCTGAGCTTTATAACCAGCCTTTCAAAGTTCTCAGGGTCCCTTCTTGAACCTCATGTATGCCCGGGGTTAGTGGGCCAGAGTGACACACATACTCTGTTTATCAATGTGCCACTTTATTATGTGCCCTTTGGTCCTCAGACGATTACCCAGAACCCCTAATATTTCACCTGCCTTTCTGTCTAGAGCCATCTTGGCTAAAGTTCTCAGCAATCAGTCTATACTAACCTCCAGACACTTTTCCTTGGTCATAAGCAGTAGTTTGACACTCTTAATTCCATATACACATCCAGAATTGGATCTCTAGGGTCACCTTCTTCACTTTGCATTAAAGCTCAGCTATCAAGGAGGGGTTGCTAGGAGTTGGGGCCGACTCGACGGCACATAACAACAACAGCATCACTTCTTTGCCCACCTTCTTAAATTCATGAGAACTTTCCATTGTCCTTCCCATCACTACTCAGGGGAGTTCTGTGTCATCAGCAAGCCTTGGAGAGTTCCTTATACACTCTCTTCCTCCAGAGTTGTTTTACATGTTAATTAAACAGCCCTTTAGCCTTGTCTCTAAGGGACTCCTCTTCAGAAATGTGTCATTTATCCCCATCCCTTGTTTCCTGGCTCATTTCCTAGACTCAACAAAATTGTGCCCTCATTCCATCGGACTCTGTGTTTTTTTTCCTCCATTGAACAAGATTATACTTTATATATGTTCCTACTTACTCCCTCATGAATTTCTTCTTTCCATAAACATTATTGAGAACTTACTATGTGCCACAAAGCCTTCCCAACGCTCCCAAGTGTTCAATAAATGTCAGCTAAGCCTCTCTGCTATTGTTTCACAGTAATAAAAGCTATCATTAATTAAAGACTGTGTAGTGGGCAGCTGTGGTTTATGCCAGCCTAGCAGCCATTTTCCTTTTTTGGGCTACAGTGTTTGGATTACTTTGGAGAACAGCTTCTCTCCAACTCACCTGGTGGTCTAGGTGAAGCTGATCCCACCTCCTACCTCAGGTGTTTGCACATAATCAGGCCCAGCCAATCAGAGCATTCCATTTCCTGCGCCACCGTTACTGGCTCAAGAATGGGAGAACCTATGTTGAAGTTCTTGAGAAGAGATCATGTCTTTTCATTGGGATTGGTAAACTGGCAGCATGTATATGTGGAATGCGTGTTGGGAGCCCACTTTGATACGGCATGGAGAAAGCCTAAGGATGGCATTGGCACAAAGAAAAGCAGAGCCAAGAGATAGAGAAACGCAGACTTCTAGTGACAAGTTGACTTTGACTACGTGCATCCTATTATGCCTGAGGCAGGCAGACCTACCCCATAAAACTCCAGAAGCCAAAGTCACTGCTATCAAGTCAGCTCAGACTCATAGTGACCCCCATTGGGTTTCCGAGGTGGTACATCTTTACGGATGTAAATGGCCCCATCTTCCTTCCACATGGCTGGTGGGTTTGAACTGCCAAACTTCTAGTTAGAAGTCAAATGCCTTAGGCGCTATGCCACCAAGTTGTAATTTAAGAAGAGAATCAGGATTAGAATGAAGATTTTTCCAGGTCTCAATCCTTTTCTTTGCTCCATTTTTTCTCTTTCCTGAGCACCAGACATAAACATTGTTGTGAATAGGCACTCATTTTATCATTCTTTAAGGGCATCATCTCCAGGCAAATAATTGGCAGAGCAATACCCATCAATGAATTGTACAGAAACAATAGGAGAATTAATAAGTCCTCTAAACTTTTAGATCCAGAAGTGGCCATTGTGAAATGATTCTTTGGTGATTATATCTGAGTCCCAAATTAATGTTCTAGCTAACCCTTTCCCTCTGTTCAGATCATATTTATGACTTCCTCCTCAACATCTAATCCCTAGATTCCCATACCGAACATCTATCATCCAGCCCTCTGTCTACACTCAAGAGATCAAGATCTGGAAAGAGTAAGTGCCCCTTCTCTTCTTGATGCCACCCTTACCAAGAATTTCCTACTGAGGACCCACTTCTCTAAAGAATGTGCATTTTATTTTGGGGAAATGATGCATACTGAAGATAATTCAGAAATGGTTGCAGCAGAATGTTGACAGGGAACTGCCAGAAATTCAAGCCGGATTCAGAAGAGGATGTGGAACAAGGGATATCATTGCTGATGTCAGATGGATCTTGGCTGAAAGCAAAGAATATCAGGAAGAGGTTTACTTGTGTTGTATTGAGTATGCAAAGGCATTCAACTTTATGGATCATAACAAATTATGAATAACATTGCAAAGAATGGGAATTCCATAACACTTAATTGTTCTCATGAGGAACCTGTATATAGACCAAGAGGCAACCCATTCAAATGGAACAAGGAGATAATGCATGGTTTAAAATACGGAAAGGGGTGTCAGGGTTGTACCCTTATTCAATCTGTTTGCTGGACAAATAATCAGAGAAGCTGGACTATATGGAGAAGAACACAGCATCAGGATTGGAGGAAGACTCATTAACAACTTGCAATATGCAGATGACACAACTTTGCCTGCTGAAAGTGAAGAACACTTGATGCACTTACTGATGAAGATCAGACTATAGCCTTCAGTATGAATTATACCTCAACATAAAGAAAAGAAAAATCCTCACAATTGGACCAAGAAGGAACGTCACCATAAATGGAGAAAAGATCGACGTTGTCAAGTATTTCATTTTACTTGGATCCACAATCAACGCCCATGGAGGCAGCAGACAGGAAATCAAACAACTCATTACTCACTGCTGTCAACTCAAATGAGACTCACAGTAATCCCACCTTGATACCACTCCTTCTGTATCACATGTAACAAACCTACCGCCATCAAGTCCATCGTTTCCAACTCATAGCACCCTATAGGACAAAGCAGAACTGCCCTGTAGAGTTTCCAAGGTAACTTTACAGAAGCAGACTACCTCATCTTTCTCCCATGGACTGGCTAGTGGGTTTGAACTGCCAACCTTTTGCTTAGCAGCTAAATGCTTTACCCACTGTGACACCAGAGATCCTTACATATGACTAGTGGCTACCATATTGTCACATAATGTGACTAGCGCAGGACCAGACGTTACCCCCACCCCATTACCTACAGTTGGTTCATGTCCCTAACTTCTGCTTCATTTCCGTTAGGAGATTCTGTCTCTAAGGGGTGACCCCTTTTTCTCCATCCAGACTGCTGCCACTAACTGTCCCCTGCTCACTCAGATCAGAAGCTGTGACAGCTCTGATCCTTTTTGTCATCAAATAAAATACCCAGCTTTTGCCAAGTTGGTCAAAACCAAAGTGAATTGTTCTTTTGGGGAAAGCCCTTGGCAGCTGGGCTGGTGGTGGTGGTGGAATGTGCTTTGGAAATCCTCCCACACCCCTGAGTACACCATAGAAGCAGCATTCCAAAGAGTCCCATGACTCACCTGGGTGAACATTCCAGCCAAGGGACCAAGAACCACAAGAACCTCGGACACAGAAGAAACCCTTCCCCGCAGCTCCTTTTCCATTGCCGACTTCAAGTCCTGGTTCAAGCCAAGGAGAGAGAGAATTTGAAGCAAGAGTAGGTAGGTAGAGGCAGATGCATGCCAGTGAAAGAGTAAGAGGGATGAGGTCTGTGAGGGGCCTCTGAAGCGGGCTGCTTGGAGAGGAAGTGTCTGGTGACCTTGGCAAGAGTACAGTGATGGAAGCAGCAAAGGGACTATCTGGGCTGAAGAGAAAATGAAGCCAGGGAGATGGGGAGGTGGACCACTCATTTAAAGCATCTGGCAGGCAAGGGCAGCAGTGAGGTGCTAAAGAAGGAATTTGGGACGTCTGCTGATTGGGCAATCTACTTCCATAGTGATACTGCCTCGGAAACCCAAGGAAGGGTTGCTATGAGTCAGATTTGACTCCATGGCAGTGAGGTGTTTTCTTCTTTCTTTCTTTTTTTTTCGCTGAATTCTAGTCAGAGACTCACTTTTCTCATCTTTAAATGGGCGAATACTACTCACCTCAAAGTTTCTTTAGAGATGTGAAGATTCAAACAGATAACTGGCCCCAAAAGATAAAACTTTAAAAGCCAAAAAATGTAAGGTTGGAAGAATGAGGGAACAGACTACCAGCTGGAGGAAGCAAGGGGAATCAAGCAAAGGGTTTTTTTTTTTTTTGGCAAGGTTTTTAATTTTAACGCTGAGGAGATAGGAGGAGAAAGCAGGGAGGAGCCTGTGGAGAGGGAGCAGAGGAAAGTCTGACTGCCTGGGTGGAGCTTAGACTTGACAAATATTTCTCAGACGGTCTCTACTTTTCATCCCATGGGAATAATAAAAATGATAGCCCTTCTTTATGCTGTACGGAAATGTATATGCGTTCCCTTAGCGCGTTCGCAGACACTGCAGCATTTAATTCACCCTTGTGACAACAGGTCAGTCAGATGTATTTATCCCGAGTTCATAGTCCAGGAAGCTGGGGCTCTGAGAAGCTGAGAGACTTGCCCAAGGTTACATAGCTGGTAAGTGGCAACATCGGCTAGGGCTGGAAGCCCTGGACCCCACAGCTATTTTTCTGGGCCTCCTTCCCTTGCTCTCGGCCCTCTCTAAACTAAAGCCAGGCCCTTTCCCGAGGCCACTGAGCCTCCCGCCTCACTGACTCACACGCTCTTCTTCACTCCCCAGAGCCAATTTCCGACCTTCCAGGCTCCACCCCTCTTTAATTTGTACCCTTTGAAATACCCTCTGTTCATGCCCCTCCTGCAGCCGCCTGTTCCTCCTGCCTTTTGATGAAGCTGTTAGAAATAAAGGCAGGGGTTTTGATGGTATTAACATGGGAACCCTCTGGTCAAGTCCTGCCCTGCCACTCCCCCTGTGCCCATGCGATTCCTGAGGGAGACAGACACCACAGGCAATAGCAACATCAGACAAGCCTGCTTTGTTTTTGTTCTGCTGGGCCTGCCCAGTGCCCAAGGCTCTGATAATGTTGGGATAGAGTCCAAGTCTCAGCCTGAGGCCTAAGAGGGCCTCTCCCTCTCGCTAAGCACTCCTCTGAGGTCTTCCTTCTGGTCGGTAGCTGACTAGAGAAGCCAAAGCAAGTGTACTTAGGTATGGGAGTAAGGAAAAGAGGACCTCTTTTTTTTTTTTTTTCTAATGCTCAATGACCCCACTCTCAAGCCAACTTGGCCTCACCAGTATCCTGGAATCTGACCAATCAGATTCATATCCCATGCTCATAAGGTGGAGAGCAGAAATGAAGGGGAAAGGAGGCTCTCCTGGTGTGGTGAGTTGGGCAGGGGCTTTCTCTGCCAATTACACCAATCGAACCTAGAAACATCAGTCATTCTCTCTCTCCCATCCCTCGACATCTATATCCCCCACCCCCAACTTTTTCACAACCAATACTTGGCCATCCATCCCTTGGGCCATCACGTCAGCCTCACCTGTAGTCTCTCTGCCTCCAACCCACCACTCACCCAGCCCCCAGAGTGGGTCTTTCTGAAAGAGACTGGACCACATTGCTCTATTTATACTCTTTCAGCAGGGCTGATGACAAGGGTGGTTGTGAGTTGCCATGGAGAGCTCTAACTCAAGGGAACCAGACGAGCAATGCCATCAGTCAGACACTGCCTGGTCTTGTACCATCCCCATGACGGGCTGTGGATCTGGCCATTATGACCCGACGGGTTTTAATTGGCTCATTTTTGGAAACAGATCACCAGGCCTTTCTTCCTGGTCTGTCTTAATCTGGAAGCTCAGCTGAAATCC